TCTCTCTCTCTCTCTCTCTCTCTCTCTCTCTCTCTCTCTCTCTCTCTCTCTCTCTCTCAACGCGACAGCTCTGTCGAGATCTGTATTATTGAACACGGAGGGAGAGAAGGGTGTTTCCCCCTCCTCCTTCTCCTCCTGCTCCTCCTCCGCTCACCTTTTGTCGGGCAGCAGGAAAACTTTGGCGTAGGGATTTCTAGGCTGGCCGTTGCTCCTCGGCGTGAGCCCCTCGGCGCAAACTATCGTGACGATCAATTGAAGTCCTACAGGATCGAAACCCAGCTTCACCTGAATACTACCGCCCACGTTCGCGTTTCCGGCCGGATGTCGGGAGTGTCGACCGCGTCCTTGGGCGTGCAGGTCCGGCGAGCCGGGCGACGTCACTAAAACCGACGGTTTCTCACGCCTCGCGTCGTACAACTCTGCAAGTGAGCATCGTGCGGTGTCGACTAGGATATAACTCGTTTCCGTACCTGCGCTTCTTGGAGCGATTGGCGGGTGAAGGGGTTTGGAACGGGGTTTGGACACGCGCGGGCTGAGAGAGTAGCGAAAGGGGGAGGAAGAGACTCGAGATGACGTTAGGGAGAAAGAAGGCACGGGTGGTTCGATGGGCGGACAGATTCTCATGCTTCTTGTAATTTCTGATGACTCGCGGCCGATGACAATGAATGATATTAATGTATTCATAATGCAGACTTTCGCGGCTTATACAACAGCCGAACAACGCGACGGCTGGGAGAGATATCCGAAAGACATCCTAAGCTCAGGTATATTCGAGAGATTAGGATGTCTATTGGACACTCCTGGTATCGACCTGGTGCTTTAGTCAAATCAGAGACGCGAAAGAGCCGAGTCTCATCTCACATCGAACACACTCCCCGGTTAGCTAGGTGACGTTGCGAAATTGATAAATTACAAATCTCCCTGAGGGATTCCGCAAATACCCACGTCTCTCTTTCTCTCTCTCTCTCTTTCTCACTCTCTCTCTCACTCTCTCTCACTCTCATTCTCTCTGTCTCTGTCTCGAAAAAGAAGAAGAAGAAGAAAGAGAAGAAGAAGAGAAGTGGAGTCTACATGCACTGCGCCTTCACAACGGTGATTCGCAGAGGACAACGGGGCCAAGAAAGGCAGGAAGGAGTCGTCGTGATTAATAATGTCGGATCGATACACGTAGACAAGATAGGCGGTGGCGAATATAACGAGAGAGTGTTCACACTTATTCGCAAGAAGGTCACACGAGATACCGTATTTAGCCTCGTTAGAATTGGAGGAAAAGCGCGGCACGGGGGATCTGCATAAATATCGGCGTCCTCGGATTTTGTACACATATGTAATATACATATACAAATGTATATATATACATATATATATGTATGTATATATAGTTGTTGCTCCCATAAGACTATACCTATACAACGGTGCTGTTTAGCGGGGGGTGCATTAGCACTACGATCTACGTCTACGTTAAAAACATCGACGGTAATACATAAGGCAGAGAGTATAAAAAGGTATATATAATCGATTTTTCATCGCTCTCCATCACGTTCTCCGTCGTGGCGTCGAAATCGTGATCCTCAGCGCCGTTCGTCGAGAGACCCGGGGAGAATCTCAACGAGACGGTCGCCGTTCGGTAAGAGAGAGACGAAAGGTCCAACGTTACAGGGGAAAGAGAAACACCGACCAATCGGAGAGTATATTGCGTTAATTAGGAAACAAACAAAAGTTGTCTGAAAGGCCTACCCCATAGAATACATTTCTTAAGACCTGGAATGCGAAAAATCATATAATCTATGACAGTGTGTAGCGTCACTTTTCTAATGATACTTATTAGTATTGCGCTTGCGCGGGCGATGCGGGGTGCGAGAGGGTGATGAGGGAGAGGCGCGATTACGAGCGCGTAATCTCGTAATCTTACGCTATACCCCGGCAGATTATGTTTAATGGGATTTAATCGATGCCGATAAATATTCCATTGAATCGGAATAATTAATTCCCGGGCCCGCATCGGGAACGCCCCCATCAGAATTTTATCCGATTAAACCGTCACGTAGGGTGTATCGAGTGTACCGTACTTCCCGTCGCGCGCTCTCGCGCGTAATTTCCTTTTATCGCCCACGCTATCGTGTACGTGTGGATAACGTGTGTGCAAAATTTACGGATTAAGAAATCAGGCGGAGGCGCGCCAAGTACGTCGACACACCACACTCGCAACTCGAGAGAACATGTTCCATTAACGAAAAAAGAAACCGTACTATTCTAACGAATCTCTTCTCCTGAGAGCGACTCTTCGTCTATAACTATGTGTTGAAAGCTGACGATACCTAGGGACGAGCTAGCCCACTCCTTTAAGATTAGTTTCTCTGTATCGATTAAAGATCCGTAACGCCTGTCACCACCATAAGCCCATGCACGACTACCGCAGGATGAAGTCGGTGACAGAGTGTGTACCTCAAAGTCGTACGGAAGAGATCTCAAGTTCAAAACAACAAGTCGACGGTGAAAAGAAGAAAAAAAAAGAAGAAGAAGAAGAAGAGGAGAGAGACAAAGTGATAGATCTAGAGATCGCGATGATACATCTGGTAGAACACAGAAGCGAGATAGATCGAGTCGGAAGACGCTCGGAGACGGAAGTGCGCCGAGTGTGTCGGTATAGTCACCTTTGTGATGCGGTTGCTGAGGCCCGGAGATCGTCTCGTGTTTCTGCCTCCACTGACCCTGAGCGACGATCCTCCTCGATGACATCGGCGTCGACGGGCCCGGTCCTGCGGGCATCGCGCCTGCGGTCGTCGAGGACACATTTCGCGAAACTACGAGCTCGACTTGCGGTTCCATCCTCGACTCGCGGATGATCTCGGAAACGACATCGAAGCTCTTGCCTTGGAGGGACCTGCCGTTCCACTTGATCACCTCGTCACCTGAAACAGCCGCAGGGAATACCCGAGAAATCGTCGAGCACCCGATTCGTTCCTGTGGACGATCACGGAAACGGCTTGTTACGATCGGAGCGTGTTTACGGCCGGCCGTCGTGTCGACACAAGCCATGCTGCTTTTCGCGGCGCGTCGAAAGGCGCGAGGGCGCGGATCACCGTGGCCAAGGTACTCGTCAGGTGACTCGCGGACCGCGGTGGAGCAGTGCACGCGGAATGGTACAAGTGGTGTGATCAAGTGAAAGATTACATACGAGAGTCGAAGGTGGAATACTCGACGGGAGAACCGCGGCGGGGGCTTCGCGGAATTATCTCGCGGATATTTACGATATTTCCTCCCGCGAGGCCTTCACTTGTGGCTCGACATTCCCGCGAATCGATCTCGAATTTAACCGCGCGTGCGTTCCCGTGGCGACTGCCACGATGCAAAGGGAGTGACGTCCGAATGTATTTTTGCACAAGGTGACAAGAGAGATATCGCTCTCTAGACAGGGCAAGGACATTACCGAGTGAAGGGCAGTTTTCTCGCGCATTCGTCCGCGTGACGAACGTATCAAGCGACTCTCAAGCGACGCCCACGACTCCCGTGCGTTTTGAAAATTCTCGCTTGTTGCGAACTTTGTGATCCTCTTACCGGGTCTAAGTTGACCTTCTATGTCCGCCGTACTACCCTTTTTCACCTTCTCGATGAAAGCGCCCATGGAACCGTCTTCCAGTAGCTTGCCACCGACAACTTTTAGTCCGAGTATACTACTACCGCTCTCGGAGCCGGATTGCCGATTTGCCGATTTTCGCAAGACCATGTGGCCGATGATCTTCTGGCCGTCTCTGCTCACTTGCCAGGATAACGGATGCTACGGAGCGCGGACAGTATTTCTTTTACTGATAATGGGTGTCTCATGCCTTCGTAAGCCAAAAGCAATAATGGAACGTACGTCCGAATTCTGGATGATAAATTCGCAAGCTCGGAGACCGCGAACGTCGATACGAGCGTCGCGACTATCGCGCGACTCAGAGATACTTTTTGCGTTGCGGAGAGGAACGGTTCGCGAGTGGCGGATTGAAAGACTCGGCCTTCTTGCGGCCGAAACTCTGGCGAGGATTGCATCCCCGTCTCTCGGTCTCCAGCATATCCGGCGCGTATTTCCATTAATGGTCTATTTTATCGAGTAAGGCACAACTTTCGGGGATAATCGCAAGAGAGGTCGGCTCGCGGATCCCACTGAGAAATGTTTTGCGTCCGTCTCGGCATTCGACGAATGCCAGCTACTCTGTCGTGCGACAATACATTTCTCTCGCGCAGGACGCGTCGCCGCAAAAGGAAAAAAGAAACACAAAGGAAGCTGCACAGTCCTCCAAATCGGGAGGCACGAGAGAGGATACACTTCGTCGGCTGTTCTGCATCGACTCAATCTCAAAGAATATACGACTTTAATTAACTCGAAGAAACACGTGTGACAAATTTCGACCGATCAGAGTCAAACAATATCTCATCTCATCGTGTCTCTCTCGGCATCCTCCCGACGAAGAGAAAGCCTGTCTACGAAGTGGACGATCTAGGCGAACTATCGGAGAAAATAATCGGCCGGGGAGAATACAGTCGGCGTTTACAGAGTGGCAAGCAGCATGCACTACTGGCACACGTGGCGCGTGTATAAGAGCGAATGGTAGCCGCTATACTGCATGCAACGTATGCGAAACTAGCGAATACGATTGCGGCAAAGAACGAGACATTCCGCGCTAGATCGCGGGGAGCCCTGAGGCCTCCGCTTCGCAATACGGAAGATACGCAAGGCATGCAAACAACAACTGCGTGGTATCGTCGATATTTGCGTAATATCGCGCAACAGTTCGTGATGTCTCTTCCTGTCTGAGAACGACACGGTTCACCACAGGTGGATCTACTTTAGGGAGAGGGGTCGCCTCCTTTCGCCTTCAGTCTCTGTCGATCGCGCTGATGCGCGACTCGCGCGTCAAATTCGAGTTCGCGCCAATTTCATCGGGACTCTTATCCATGACGATATCGTGCCTTTTAGTTTTCCCCGTCTGCGGCGAGTTCGACGACCACACACAGTGGCCGCGTCGGTCCCGTCCAGATTCGACTAACGGAATTCGTCGTCGATTGACGCGGCGTATCGTGAAAGAAGAATGGAGTGTGAATATAAGAAAGAAAAAAGAGAAGAAAGCAAACACTACGTTCTCTCGTGATCCATTTCTGCTTTTACGCCAGTGAAACACACAATCCAGGCAATCACACGCATCCTCGCAGTAACAGCGTGAGAGCGCAACGTTAACGGCGGTACAAATCGCGCATGAAAGATCCCGCAAAGCCAAGAATCAGAAGGATACTCCAAGGAGCCATTCAATAATTACGTCACATCACGAAGGGCAGAGAGGAGTGGGTCTGTGGCAAGGAAGGGAGAGGGAGAGGAGAGTAAAAGTCACGGGACGTCATACGTATTCTGTATCTGTCTAAACTTCTTATTATATTCTGTAAAAATAATTTAACTTCGTGCGTTAATAATCTAAATTTTAGTCTTGAAATATTTATCTCTATTGAAGACACGACAACTAATCAGAATTATAAAATATAGTAATTAATTTGATATCGTGCCGAAAAATTATATGTACTTTAGGAAAAGGTAGTATATAGTGCGGTGTAATAATTATTACTCACAATATAATTATGAGCCATTTTTCTTATTCTATGCGAAGAGAAGAGGTAATCCCTCATGCCACATAATATCGAACTTTGTGACAAAGTGTGACGAAGGGAGGCGAAGAGGGGGAGGAGGAAGGGAATAAAAATATTGAAATTTCGCGCAACATAATTGTTGAGTGACTCCGAACCGGCAGACAGCCATCACGTCGGTCCTCGTTCGCGTTACGCACCGGAAACGAATTTTCGAGTCTGCGCAACAACCAAACGCTCGCGGAGTCGCAGTAATCGGAGAGATATTAGAAAAAAAGGTTAGAAAAGAAGGATAGAAAAAGGTCTGCCGCTCGCGAGACTGATCGACGAGACGACTAACGAGGTCGGCCGCGCGATACCCTTTTGGCCGCGTTCCAATTTGATTAATTATGAAACAGGTACGTTTGTATCTCGAGGACCTGGCGTCCTCGCCGGTCTCTTAATTGGATCGTTTTGGAGATACCTCCGCGGCGAGAAATCGCGTCAAATTCCTCGGATTATCCGGAGATACGCGCTCAACAATCGAGACACGCAATCGCAACGTCGGGGCGATACGCTTTTCAGCGCGCAAAGAAACCTCGCGAACTACCCCGTAGACATTTCCTCAAACCCTCGCCCCACCTCCCCCTTTGATACGATCTTATCCAAGTCGGGGGAGGGAGGGGAACTCGCGTTCGACGGTGTTTGGTTTCCTCGTGTGCTTACCCCGACACACCGTGTCGCGATATCGAAGTTCCCGCTGCTGTTGCCACTGCTGCTTCTCGCCGCGAAACTGAAAGCAAGCTCGGGCGGAAATAAGAGCGATAAGGGGGAGGGCTTCTCGAGTTACTTGAGGAGATACGTAAGTCGCGGCCGGATAAATGACTCGATCGTCGTGACCGTTTACTCGGCGAATTTAATCTTGGTTATTTGCCTGGTATAATTGGAGCGCGACCCGCGGCAGAGTTATCCATCTTCCAGGTGTATCGAGCGACGAGTCCTGTACACGCGACACCGTCGTCGTCGTCGGCAAGAACGCCTGCGAATCGGCGACTGCCGGAAATCACAGTCGCATAAAAACCGGCTGGCGCGAAAAAGAAGGATCTCTCGCCTCTGAGGGCGCAGTCTACAACGCGGGGTAGATCTCTTCGCGCCGAGGGAATTTCAGACGTACGATATCGAATCGATTATTCGCGAACTGTCTCTTCCTCTCTTTCCCGCTCTCTCTCTCTCTCTCTCTCTCTCTCTCTCTCTCTCTCACACACACACTCTTTCTGTCTCTGCGATTTATGCCATGTGATATAAGCCACGGGAACCTGACGGCTCTCTGGGCGATCGTACCTTACGTCGGCAGTGGCGTAAAAGAGAAATGAATGTCGGAAGTGGTTATTCATTGTTTGAAACTAACACGAATCTCTCCCCCTTCGCCGTCGAATCCACCATCACTTCGGTAACTCGAAGGAGATTTACGATATACGCGATATTTCCGATTCAAGAGAGGCGCAAGGTGGATCGTAAATAAGTCTAACGCCAGAGAATTGCCAGTACAAAAGACGATTAGCTACTTGGGAGACTTCTGAATTCACGGAGTGCCTTTGGCGAAGTCGCGAATAGCGAGGCGCAATTGTGCTTTCTTTTCTCGCTGAATCAACTCGCGAAGTGACGTAATTCTCAGCTTGGTCGACGCTCATTATGAATTATCTGTTGCGCAACGATAGACGATCATAATCAGACCGATTCGCGCGAGAGACTCCGTGACTTCAGTCACTGTGCAATTCGAGCGAGCTCGAACTCGGTATACGGTGTCAACGTTGCAAGTCGTACAGAAAGCCGTTAAAAAATCATACATATAAAACAAATCTCTCTTTCTCTCACGAGGCAAAAATACGAACACAAGCATACAAGCCTTTAAAGCTCGGAGTTTAGGGTTAATCGAGCAAAAGAGGTTCTCCCCTGTCAGCGCAAATGTGAGGAGGGGCGGGAAGGGGAGAGATAAAAACCAAACGTCCGAGCGTGAAACCTCGTTGCGCGGCGTGTGTGTCTCGCCCTTTCGAATCGCGAACGCTGCCGACATATCGACGGTACCTCTCGGCGCGATTAATCGCGCGACTCTCCCGCCCTGAAACCTGGGCTCTCCTGGCGTCACGTCGCCGCCACATTCCAATCCGAAAGTAACCAAACGCAAGTGCCGCGCGCTAATTGCATCAATTACCAAGCCATCTCCAATGCCACTCCACTACGCTATTGAAGCGAGGAGCGAGAAAGAAAACAACCGTAATTCCACTTTGGACGACGTGTTTCCGGCTTTCGAATCCGCCGCGATTAGCGTACGCTGAGGCAACGCGCCGAGGGTAATCGTTATCGTGAAAAAAAAAAACGCACCCACCTTCTCTCTTTTCCTTTCTTACTCTATCTATCTATATCTCTCTCTCTTTCTTTTTGTCTGTCTGTCTGTCTGTCCATATCTTTTTCTCTCGCGAACGATTATCTCGATCGTGCAAAGAGCATCCCTTGAAAAACCCCTTTTACTCGATCCACATCCGCGAACTCGATTCTCCTCCCGGACAACCGCCTGTCCTCGCACGCGCGCGAACCCTGCCATATCTACTTCGTCACGATGGATTACCAATTCGGATATCTACTCGCTACGGTCGGGAAGCGTTTGTCTGTTCACTAGCGCCGAGCCGGGTACGACTTTACTCGCTCGTAATTGGCAGCCCGTACCTTGGGCAGATCGCCCCTGTTGCTGTCTTCACTGCTCGTGAAGGTGCTAGAGGTGTCTATGCCGGAGTCTTTGGTCGCGCTGTCCTGACTACCCTGTCGATCGGCCTCCCAAGACCATTCCTCCTGAGGGCCGCCGACATTGGTCCCACCGTCAAAACGCACTGTCTTTTTCCCCCTCCTCTCCGTGAACCTGATGGACACGCCACATACACAGAGACACGAGGAGACCATGGAGGTGGTGCGCCGGTGTGTGCTTAATCCCCGTCGCGGTTGCATCGTTACGCGCCGTTCCGCGACCCCACGATCCGATCGCGGGCGCATCAGCCCCCGAAGCGCGTCCCTTGATCGCTCGCTCGTCGTTTAATTTCCGGGGACGCGGAATGAGTCGGTCGGAAAATTCCCGTGTTACACGTTACGCGCGAGTTCAATCGCGGCCGGGCACGACTTTGATTTCTGGTCCGCGAATGAAGGGCAGTTGTTATCGCGATATCTCTTAACTTCCTCCCCTTAGTAAGCCGCTTAGTGTATATGTATGAATATTCAACATGAAAAAATACATATTACTGTCGTCACGAATTACTCGTCTATGCGCGCTACAAGCCGAAAGTCGCACTACCCCGCGAGCCTCTCTGCGATCGCGGGTTCACCGGGTCGAAGAGCTAACGAAGCCGCTACCCGGCCGTTTATTAGGCGCGCGAAAAGTTAGTCGGGGAAAGTGCCGCGGGAGAAAGCCGCCGGCGCGATCGCGATCGATCTCGCTTTCTTGAGAAACGCACCTCCTACTATCAGCGCGCCACTCGTCGCCGCACCTGCGGAAGCTCCGTCTGACGAGGGTGCTCTCTTCTTTTCGCGGCTCTCGCGGTGGATGGTGGCCGTTATGCTCGACGGTCATCGCGCCAGCACCGTGGTGCCCATTGTGGGATCCGTTGTGCCTACGCCCACCACTGGACATCGATTTCGGACCTCCCGCGTGGTGGTAGTACCCCTTCCCTACAGTAGATCCAAAATTCGTTTTCGTGTTTTTTTCTCTTTATCCCTTTCTCCCTCTCTTTCTTTTTCCTCTGTCTCTCTCTCTGTCTCTCTCTCTTTCTCTCTATCTATCTACCTCTCTACGTCCTCGACGAGCACGCGGATCGACAGCGTGCGAAACCCTCAACTTTTAGCTACTACGACACACAAATTCAGATTGGGCTTTTTTTTCTCCCGAGGAAAATCCTCTTTCTCTCTTTTCCTCCCCCGCGAGACATTTCCGTTTCTCCGGCACCTCCACTGCTTGCCAAACTTGACGGCACCTTGTTCTGCGGCGAGCGCGTCAAATCTACGCGTCGGGAAACGGAACTCGTGTTCGTGTCGCGAAGATTATCTCGCTCTTGTCTCCTTCCTTACGTCTTCATCTTTCCGGTGCTCCTCTGTCTCTCCTCTCACTCTCCCCTTCTCTTTCTCTACCCCTTTCTCTCTTTCTCTAATTTGCGCGTTAGTGTAAGAGCTTTTAGTGTCTTATATACGGCACATCTGTCGGAAACGAGGTAAGGCGGCGGTGCAAGCTTGCCCGCGATAAATGTGCGATAGACGATGCCTGAAGCGTTAAGTAGAACCGTATATACGAATCTGAATTTGCCTACATGGATGGCGAGAGAGACGACTAGGTACGACTATGCGTAAATGTGCAGGGAACGTGTGGTTGTGTGTGTGTACGTGTGCGCGCACGTGCATCACGGCAATTACAACACGGCGAGATGTCCATCTGGAGTTCCGCGTCGACACGCTTATCTGTGTTTTCCTGGGGGCAATGTGAGTGTGAGGAGAGGGGCAGGGGCAGGCTTCGCCGGTACATAGGACGCTTCTGCGTTTGTCACACAAAACTCTGGACGCGAGACACAGAACAGAAATTACCAGTATGGACGAAATTGGACAAATGGACGAGATACACAGGAGGACTCGCTTTGGCTTCTGCACGATCGTATTCAGCGAGCGTCGCTGATCATGCAGCGATATTCCCCCGGGCGAGGGGATAGTTCCGCGGGCGATCCCGCGTACTCCTATGTTTCAAGATAAATGCAATTAAGTCGATAGCTCATCCTGCGAATGCAAAGGGAAGACGCGTCCGGTCGTGCAGACACCAAAGACACGCCAAAGACACGCAGCACGGTTCGAGACGTTAACACGTTAACACGAAAGAAAAGGGTGACACGTAATGATATTCCAACATGAAAGGAACGTAATGCCACTACTGTCGCGTTATCATCTCGATTAATGACAAGTACCTACGGCGTGTGCGGGTATACGTCCGGGTGTTGTGTGTGCGCGCGTGTCGGGGGCTATGTACGTGTGTATGTATGCATGTACACGTATATGCAGCGGGCGAAAATCTCGAGAGGCCGTAACACATCTGTTGATTGAGTTGTGTGTACGTGTACGTATTCCGTGAGTGGAGTGTAGATAAAAATATACCTGTGCACGATTCATATAGCCGTCCAAAGTAGAACAAATGAAGTCTAAAAACAAAATTACAATTCTGCCGATCGGTCGCGCCGCGCCGCGCCGGTCCGCGGATTCTTCTTTTTCCCTTTTCTCCCCCTGTCTCTCTCTCTCTTTATCTCTCCCTCTCTCTCTCTCTCTCTCTCTCTCTCTCTCTTTCTCCTCGTACGGAACGGAATTGTATCTTCCTGCGGAGAAAATTCGCTCCGCTCCTTATTTCGCGCGATAACGCTAACCGTGGATCCCGCCACGGAAGGATGGTCGCACGAAACACGAGATAATACGGAAGGATCTTAAACGCAATTAAGCGCGCAACGACGGTATGTTGCCGGCGAGATTTAATTTCGAAATTGAATTAGCGGGCGCACGGGGGATTCGGCGGCGAGGAAGAAAGAGATAAAAGGATGAGAAAGAATTGCTTTTGTTTTCCAAGTTACCGACGGAAATACCACCCCCCCCCCCC